CAGAATCTGACTAGGAAGAAACCCTTTCACCAGTGACGGGTCTGACCCTCAAAAACTTATCAACGAACCATGCTGCTGGATTGTCATCAACAGGCCTTGGATTCCTGTGGACCTGCATGGCTCAGGAATGGGACTACAGAGGGTCTTTTTGATTCCAATATTCCACTGCAAAACACATCACCTTGGAGCAAATTCCAAGGAGACCACACTTAACTTCATTCCCCCCCTCCCCGCCAGATAGTTGGTCATTTGATATCCAACACCACATGTTTGAGCCTCACCATAGAGGGAAATCCCTGTTGAGTTTCCTGATGAGCAGCACAGCTCAGCATGAAATGCTGATGCATGGTCACCAACCTCCTGCCCACAACTTAGTCATGCATCCACCAGGTGAAATTGTGGGGCATTAGCAGTAGCTGCTTATTGCTGCACAGCAGATACAAAATCTTGAATATATGAGAACGCATTCATGATTTATAAATCTGGACTCCAGGTAACAACTTTCAGAATAGTCATCCCAAGTCTCAGTTTCCTCATCAGCTATTCAACAGGCATGTTGTCTCAGTGATAGTCCTGTATAAATGTAATGATTATTATCTCTCTTGTAAGGATTATTATTTTCTAGTGGTCCAAGTCCAATGCTATATATTAGGCATACTCAACACCAATTGCTTAAACTTCCTAAGCAACTTCTAAGTCTTATACACTTAAATTGTTATTATTGCTTGAGCCTGAACAGTATCAAAAGTAACCATGTGATCACTAAAACCCAGCAAGTGACTGTCACTTAGAATTTAGTCCATCGTTTCATGCTAAACTGCTGAATGCACAGCTAATAGCAGAAGACTAATATACCTGCTTCACCGATTTGTGTTAAGAGAAATCACTCATCAGTTTATGAATTTAATTACACCTTTACATCTCCCCTCTCTTTTGTTCCTTTAATGATTAGAGGATCTGACATTGCTCTACCTGCAGAACTTGTGCAATGCTAAGTCAAATCCCTTGTTTGACCAACACGTGTTTAAAAGGTGGCTGTATATTTGAATCTTCATAAATATGGATAAGGAGCAAATTGAATAGGGACAGGGCAGTTAAATGCTAATTGCTTACTTGTGGATGAGAACTAATTTTATGGGTTTACACAAAGTAAGTAAGATAGTATTCCACGACATGCCAGTCAAGAGTCATGATTTACTCTGGCGCACAAACTGAAAGTGCTGCCCACTTGGGAAAAAATTCCTCCACCTGTGTTGGTGGCAGTTTCCACCAACATTACAGATCACAGTGGGGAGACTTGCAAAGGCAAATTTATTCACTGTAGTGGTCAAATTAACAGCAGAATTTGAAAGAGAACAGCTTAAGAGAAACAAACACCATTTTACAGATTTTCATTATTAGCAAAATTAACAAATTAAAAAAAACTTAGAACCTACTGATTAAAAAGTAAAAAACATTGAGAATAAAAATGAAGGGTGGAGTTTAATGTGGTTATAATATAACCCCAAAGATAAACTAAGAATGAAAAAGAAAATATTAGGATAGACCAAACGCTTTAGAAGTACTGTATAATATCCTTTTCAGCTTTTGTCAGAAATGTAACATAACATATTCATTTTAAAATTCCTTCCTGGTGTAGAAATCACTGATGAAGAATTTATGCAAAGATTATTCTGGCATCAGAGGGCTGTCAGATCCATTATCCTGCAACATACTAGGCTCTTTTTTTAAAGACTCTTTTTGATGCAGAATGCAATTCTGGGGCAATGCAGAATGCAGCAAACCTTCCCTGGTTTTGATAGCAGATCCTCCCGCTACGATACAGCTAGCAACGAGGCGCCAACAAGGAGGGGCCAGGAAATCCTAGTTGTACAACAACAGAGCGATAAAGACCAGCTTTTTTTTCCCTCTTGTGAAGACATCAGGAATGAAATAGAATGAATTAAAGTAGAATGTTTCCGATCTGGAATGTGGAAATATGCTTTTCAGTAATATAACTTTGAGCTCGTTTTCTAGAGTAATTGACCTTCAAATTTCTCAGTGTAGTGAAACACTGATTTATAAGTAGCCCTTTTCTAAAAAAAATCACTATTGCAACATCATTTCGAATATTGTGTTGAGATTGAACTGTATTGAATAGATCCACCACAATGCTGGATACTTAATACTGTAATTTAGCTTCTAACTCCTGTGTCCAGTTTCCTTTGTTTGTCCACATAATCAACTTGCTGTATATTGGTAGTACAACATCTACAAAATAATTGTCTTTACCATTGTGACAAAAACTTCCAATACTCACATGCGAAAGTAGAGGGGCTTGGTAGTCATTTGCTCCCCACCGGGAACTAGATAAATGTCTTGTAGCTTTAAATGACTATGGAAGTATATATCCCCTGAGGTCAAGCATTTTCCAGACAGCCTGGATAATGGTAAAACGTGTGACAATTTTGAACATAACTCTTTTGAAGAAGTTGGTTAATTTCCTAATGTTGCACTGTTGATCTGAGACTTCCCCATTGGAGGAATTGTGAGACCTGAATCTGGATTTGTTTAGGAGAGTAACACAAGTGATCAGCTCTTTTTTTTTGCAGATTATATTCTAGTCTAACGGTTTCTACTCCAGCCCCCGCACTGTCACATCTGGTGTCCCCCAGGGGTCTGTCCTTGACCCTCTCTTTAATATCTACATGCTCCCCCTTGGTGACATTATCCGCAGACATGGGGTCAACTTCCATATGTATGCAACTCTATCTTTCTGCCTCCACCCTCAACTCCAGGACCACTGCTGTCCTGACAGACTGTCTGTCGGACATCAAGTCCTGGATGAGGGCAAATTTCCTACAGTTGAATGTGAACAAGACTGAGGCCCTCCTGATTGCCTCGCGCCAGCGCCTCAGCACCTCAGGCTCTGGCAGCATCAACCTCCATGGTTGCTCACTACAACTCACCAAGCCAGTCAGGAACCTGGGTGTCTTGTTCAACCCTCAACTGTCTTTTCTTCCCCACATCCAAGCCATGACCCGCTCTGCCTTCCCTCACCTCCGTAACATCGCCCGACTCCGCCACTACCTCACCCCTCAGGCCACTGAAACTCTTGTTCATACCTTCATCACCTCCAGGCTCGACTATGCAAACTCCCTGCTTGTTGGCCTTCCCAACTCCTCCCTCCACAGACTGCAGATAATCCAGAACTCTGCAGCCCGTGTCCTCTCCCGCACCAAACTCCATGACCCCATCTCCCCCTCTCTTGCCTGAGTCCATTGGCTCCCTATCCTTCAGAGGATCCAGTTCAAGATCCTGGTCCTCACCTACAAAGCCCTCCTTGGCCTCACCCCACCCTAACCCTGCGACCTCCTAACCCCCTACCAACCCGCCTGTTCCCTCTGCTCAGTCGGCTCTGGCCTGCTCCAGTCGGGCGATGTTACGGAGGTGAGGGAAGGCAGAGCGTCCCCCAACCCACCCGCCCCAACATTGGCGGAAGAGCCTTCAGCCACTCTCTCCCCAACCTCTGGAATTCCATCCACAAGTCACTCCGCCTCGCCCCCTCCTTAGCCTCCTTCAAGACCCTCCTCTTCGACCATGCCATCGGCCACCCCCCTTCCCCTCCCCTCCCTTCTCCCCCCCCCGACCCCAGCTTGGGTCTGAAATACTGTACACTGTCCAGCGCCTTGGGAATTCCTCCCGATGTGAAAGGCGCTATACAAAAGTAATCTTATTGTTGATGTAGTCTTTCCCTATATCACATCCCATGATTGTTTGAAAGAACAAAGTGACTCTTCCAAGCGTTGCTGTACACCACTATATCCAAGCTGGTGGAAAATACCTAGCTTTCTGATTTTCTGGAGAGGGGCTGTTAAAACAACAACTTTCCTAAAAATTCTGAAACTCAGGTTTTCTTCTTTCCCAAGATATAATTATCAAATGTCGGTGAGATAACTAATTTCAGCACAACTCCAGTATCAAGCTATATTAATAACCATTTCAGGCTTCCTGAATGTCTATTTAAAAAGCTAATGTTTTAACCTGACAGTATGTGACTGACTGTGGGGATAGGTTCAGCCTTTGAATTTATACAATTGCAAAAAAAGGCAAGATATTAACCTGAAGATGATATAACTTCTGAAACAATATTCAAAGGATGTCTACCTTTAACCCTACCAATACAGAAAGAATTTAGGCCTTCTGAACTAAAAACAAGTAAAATTTTACTGTATAAAAATGTTACAAAGCTAGGTTAAGGAAATCATTGTTCACGTTAAAAGGGTTAAATATAGCTACAATCAGTAGATCATAATCTGGGCCAATGGAAAAGTGCAGAAATATTTGCTCCAAATTGCGGGTCTTTTGGCAACTTTTGGGGGAATTGTGGAGGGTTGGTTGTTGCTATTGCGAGAAGCATTTTGTGAAACAACCAGATTAAACTATAGGTATATATTTCCTGAATCTGTAGTTATGTTTAAAATACTAAAAATGTTAATGTGAATAGTACAGCACTTACCAAGAATTTGTTGTAGGAGCTCAGTTTAGGCCACATGCGCCGGGCAAAGCTGATTTCCTGTTTGCGCCGATTCCGCGATCTCAAGATTCCCCACGCTGCCCACGCATGACGGGAGCCGCTCCAATCACAGCAGCAGCGTCGAGCAAGCAGTGTGCAGAGACCCGGGGCGTGGCATTTGTAGCGGAATCCATAGAAAAAGTGCAGCCACACATTTCTATTACCCCAGATCAGAACTTAAGGCAAAGTATTACCAAATAATGACTGCTCACAGGGATTCCACATACACCAAAACTACTGGATTTTAACAGATTTTTGAAATTGTTGTCTGTTTCGATGTGCGGTATTCCCTGACATGGATATGCGTGTTTTAGGACGATTAGAATTTACACACCTTTAAGAAAAATGAAAAATTAAGTACTACTTTTCCTCGTTTCGAATAATTTGTTTAAAATGTTCTTGATTGCTAAAACATTAAATTTCTTGATAGCTGGACATGTGAAACTGAGGTCAACCTAGATCTTTATTGCGAACAAAAATTCCACAACAACAGAAAGCAAGACACATCATCACCAGTGAGAAAACTTAACTAAATTCTCGTCAAACAAAAATATTCAGTAAATATAAGCATTTACATAGAAAGCAAAAGTTATTACAGATTGGGTTCACATTGCAGGACATATTTAAACATCTTAGTGGAAATCTAATGTTTTCCAGAGTTTTGTACATCAGTTTGGTACACTGTCCATAAATATTTTAATTTCTTATGTTTTATGAAGCTGGAATAGGAACAAAACAGATTTCAGCCATGCTTAAACAGATCGACTTGTAATACAATTTCAAATGAAAAGCTTGATATCTACAAGGAATCACAAGTTCTAAAGAGCCTATACAGTTTACTATGAATAAGCAACAAGATAATTTTTAAGTTTATATGCAGAAAATGTGCTCTACATGTCTCAAAACTTAAACTGCAACCAATTTAAATTAGAATCCACTGCAGATGACTGACTGTATTACAAGTAAAGTGCTTATATTAGATACATTGTTGTTTTCTACTGCAACTGCATATTTGTGATATTACATTGATGACTTATGGTTTCATAATCACTTTATGCAACTTCTTATATATGCTATGCTTTATATATGAAATCAAAGATTTAAAAAATATAGCAGACTACCTCTTTAACCCAGTAATATGGTGCCCTTTGAGTGATAGCAATATAGTGTGGTAGCTAAATTAACATTAATCCCAATGTAACCAGTCTTCATTACGAATCAAAAAAATTAAATGGGCTTCATAATTTAATCAAAGCTCTGGACATTTTCAGGAAAATGCATCAGGACATGTTTCTCGAATATCTGTTGGTCACAATCTGGAGAAAATTGCTCATTGCACATGGGACACACCTTCCAGTGACTTTCAACATGCTCTTCAAATTTGCTCTGATCATAATTGGGTGGAAACACCAAATCACAAAGTGGACACTTCTTATGAAGATCAAAGCTGCAAAACGAAAAAGTAAATCAAATCGATGATCATTAGGTGTTATTTTAAAACAAAACAGAAAAGTTTCATATTCAGAAATAAAAGAATGAACCTACCTTGATTGGAAGCAGAAGTGAGATCCTCTTTCTTGTAATAGGAAACTTTGAGGATCAGAAACATCAACTGGTGAAACATTAACATCTTCATCCTGTAAAACACACACATGTAAAATTATCCCACTTAGACTATGATGTGACTTAGAGGAGAATAATCACAGAAGACTTGATCTTTGTTAAGTGTTTTGGTTCTAGAAGGGCAGAGCCTTCAAAGACTTAAGTCTCAGGTTGACAGTGTGAATATTTCTGAAACTATGATGAAGGATTTTATAAAGGATCATCTTGAGGGTAAAGGGTAATCAGAGACAGGCAGCATGGCTTTAGCAGTAAGAGATTATGCTTAACAAGTTTATTGGATTTCCTTGAGACAACCAGAGCTGGTGGAAGGTGAAGGATTTTATTTATTGGATTTTAGAAAGGCATTTGACATAGTCCACATAATAGACCAATGCATAGGTTAAGGCCCATGGCGCAGATGAGAATGTATTAAACTAGAGTCACAAATGGCTTGATGGTGGAAAGCAAATGCATTTTGCAAAGGCACCCAACTGAGCACAGATTAAGGGCGTCTCATAAGGGGTTGAGTTTAGGACTACTATCGCTTAGAATTTTTATAAATAATTTGGTGACTTGTTTCACATGAAATACATCAAAATATTTAGCCAGCATAAAATTAGGGAGCAGTGTCAAGTGATGACAATAGATATGAACAAATTCAGAAAGCTCTGCAGAAGTTGAGCATGTAAGACGTCGAATAACTTGCCAAGTTATAGAGGCAGAGTCCATTGCGGCTTCAATTGGAAAGTATAAAGGTATATAAAAAATGAAGGCTTTCAGACAAATTCCACTCAACTGATTATCTTCACAAACGTGCACCAGGATTTCAAAGGCAAAATCATATATGTAAGTAAAACAACTCATGTTCAGGAGAGTTAGCAATTATAAAGGCAAAACTTCCATTGAAATCATTATTTCACATCCTTGGCAGAATTACAATATACAATTCAATCTGGAACAATACCAAGTGATTTAATTTAGCGATCAATGCAACACAAAGCAAACCATTATACTAAATACAAGTACAATCCCACACAACTATTTCCATTCCATGAACAAAGATTTTAAAACATTTTCAAAATCCATATCTATTAGTAATAAAAGCATATTTTACTGGTGGGAGCACCCTTTTGGACAATATATTCAACTCTGCTCACTCATGCTATGAAAATATACAGCCTTTGGAGAAAGTGAAAGAAGAAAAACAGGACTGATCCAAAGTATAAATAGTATGAACTATGAGAAAGGATGTGATTTATGGAGCGAAAATGTTAAAACATATTACCAACCAAGACTTATTTTGCTCAAAATGAGCTAAAGGTTGGTGTAGATCTGCTATGTGGGGTGGTAGAGAATGACTCAAACACACTCCTTGTCGGTCTCCCCAGCTCCACTATTCAAAAAATCCAGTTCATTCAGAACTCTGCTGCCTGAAAACTTACTCAGACTAAACTCTGTACCCCCATTTCACCAGTTCTGGCCAGGCTCCACGGCTTCTCATTACCGAACAGATCATCTTCAAAGTCCTCACACTCGTGTTCAAACCACTTCACTCCCTGGCACCTCCCTACCTCTCCAACCTTCTTACTCCCCAATCCACCACCCGGGCACCTCAGCTCAACTGGCACCAGCCTCCTACTCGCCCCTTGTGCCCTCCACTCCACCACTGGAGGTTGCGCATTCAGCCACTACGCCCTGAAACTCTGGAACACTCTCCCTTAATCTCTTCGCCTTGCCCCTCTCCCCTTCTTCAAGTCCCGCCTGAAAACCTTCCTATTCGACCATGCTTACGGTCACCTCACCCCACCACTCAGAGTCAGGCTCCGCCACTGTTAAATGCTCTGAGACGCTACCCTGCGGGTACTTTTGTACAGGTTGTTGTTGTAGAGTCAAAAGCATCAGATATTCGTTCAAAATCATCTGCACATTTCCATGGGTAAGGGATGGTTATTTTATTATTCCTAATTAGTCAGATGCAGACAGCCTGTAAACACACAGTATGCCAGAGGTGTGGTACATTGCTTGTTCCAGCGCTGAGTGGCCAGCTTCCTGTACACAGCGCATAGACATTGAAAGGGTCTCCCTGTGGCATCCCAGCAACTGTCAGTAATGCTCACAAGAGCAGTGGATCTGGTCATTTGGCTTTCTATGTGACCTGAAGTGAAGCACTGTCCAGCTGCTACTCTACAATATAACCCTTTATACCACAGGGGCCTCATTCTACGGACACTCATCACTTCATAACAATAAAACGCAAAATACTGCAGATACTGGAAATCTGAAACAAAAACAGAAGTCGCTGGGAACACTCAACAGGTCAGGCAGCATCTATGGACAAAGGAAAGTTATAACAATGCCTGCTTTACATTTAGGTCTTCCTGTAGCATGAAACAGAACCAACGAACCACAGAAATTTATGGCAAAAGAAAGGTCATTTGACCCATCCCCAGACCCATGTGCCAACTCCCTCAAAAGTAATCCTTTCAGTCCCACTTACCTGTCCTTTCCCCAAACCTTGCAGCTTACTCTTTTTGTGGTATTTATCCATTTTCCTCTTGAAGGCCAATATGAATTTTGCCTGAACTACTATTCCTGGCAGGGCATTCAATATCCAACTACAGTACTCTGTAGCAAATAGTTCTACAGTAGTACTGTGGGGCATTGAAGCAGGTCAATTCCTCAGCAGTGCTGAGAGGAGGCATAATAAATCAGGAAAGAAAATGCAAGTAATCTTTGTTTTCATACACTAAATGGTAGCTGCCTCCTTTATTCCAAGCTCATTGTAGTTGTGATGTGGAGGGGGGTGGGGGGATCAATGTAGTATGGACATCCTGAAGTGGCTCTATTTAGCTTAACTGGGCCAAGCAGTTGGACAGGTTTGAGAGCTGATTCCCTTGATATTGTGAATGTTTAGCATTTATTGTCCATTTATTCCTGCGCATCCACTGGTTTTCCCACTGCTGGACAGCTCCCGATCAGCTCTCAAATCAGTCAAAAGTACCTTGCTTCATTAAAATAAACAGAACCTCTCCAGGACTCCCTAGAATAAATGTGGAGTGGCTCACAACCACATGTGAAAAAGTGAGGTTTACTTGCTGCAAGGAAACAATACTTTTATAAATATATTACTCGTCTCCAGATCTAGAGGGAATACTTTGAAATAGAAAGTACTCCCTTTGGGTTTTTCTTCCCTTTTAATGAGCAAGTAACAGCAAAGAGATCGATTGCGCACTTGAGTTTTTAATCTCACTCAGTGAAAGCCTTGGTGCTCCATAAAAAAAATCAAAACATGATGTTTATTGTACAAGCCGCTTGCGGGCAAAGCTACAAAACCTATTAAAACTGCTGTATAGGACTAATATTAGAAATGGAAAATAAAACATCTAGAAAAAACAAAGCTGTCAACTCTTAATTCTACAAAGTCTGTCAATCATGATTTCCACAAGATAAAAANCACTGTTGCAGGCTTGTGTCCACACTTCCCAGCGGTCAGTTCTGAGTGATCTGTATATCCCACTAACGCTAGCCAAGCGTGTCACACATGTCACAGTGCAGTCAGACATATCAGCTAAATTGCCCTGTTGGGCTGCCTCCTCTCATCAGTTCTGTCAGTGCTGCTCTCATTTCACAAGCACTAACAGCACATAAATAGCTGCAGCAGGCGCTGATGAGGATCACAATGTTGATGGACATCGAGGTCGGCTTCACAGCTCCCATCAACAGTCAGCGAGATGCTGTACCAGTAGAGGACATGTCCAAATCTGCTTGCGATTTGAAGAATCATCTACAGGGAAACTCATGTATATGAATCACGCGCACTCAGTGCAAAAGTACTGAGAAGAATGAAAAATACAATTTAATAGAAAAAGCTCCTTGTATTTAAACAAGGTTCAAATCTTGACACCTTCCCCACGGTCACAAAAATAATAATGGCAAAACACTTCAAGTTGTGCTTTTGTGCAACATACCAATTCATCTTCTATGGGCTTCGGAGACAAACTATTTAAATAAGATGGAAAGAGTCAAAGGACATGCACTCAAACTGCCTTAATACATAAAGCCCTCAGCTGGAACAAGCCCTGCAGCTCCTATTGTTAAAGAGATATTCTTTTTATTGGGAAATTTAAAACACACAGACATTCCTTTCTTCCCCACCACCTCCCACACCCATCACCACCCACATTTACCCCTTGCCACATTAAAGAATGGGCAGAAACCTCTTTGTAGTCATTGAGTAGGAAAAATAGTACATGGCAACAGAAACTCCTATTAATTCCACTTAGCCGGCTTCCTCTTACAAGCTTCAGGTCCGGCTCACTGGCATTTGCAGATTTAGCACCATGGAAATTCTACTTACTTTTAGTCTTATACTAACACCAACAGGAAAAAGGCTAAGTGGAATTACTACTAACAAACTATGTAACATTAGAAGTGGGAGCAATAAATTAATATAAACACACATAAATAGTAGGAACAATTTATACTCCAAAATCCCAAACCTATTAATTTAACGTGCAATTTAATGGAAAAAAACAATTAGAATGAAAAATTACAAACACTGTTCATTATTCTTTTCCCAAAGAGCAGGACTAAGGTGACTTGGGTTACGGGTTGTCTTCACTTTGAAAATTTTGAGCCAACTCTACTTTCCATTTGCCTTGGATTTAATCTCAGTCTTATTTATCTCATGTAGCTCAATCAGACACTTCCTACTGCAGCCACATGCTAACCAAAATGTAATTGTAAGTATTTGATTGTAATAATGAGGTGAACTGCTTTGTGGTAAATAAGTAAGAAATACTCATTATTTCTTGTAGCCGTGCATTACTGCACAATTATTATATTATATTAAAATGAACAGCTCTCAACAGAACCAACAGCGGATCCCATGTTTGATACAATACTGTAGAAAGCCACATTTAAAAATCGCAATACCTGAACCTACTATAACTTGTGTGGAATTGCACTCTAAATTTTAAATCAGCCCTGAGGATATTCCAGATTACATTCAGTGACAAATGACACACTGTGCCTC